GGGTAAATTCCACATAAAACTCAGTGAATGTCCTGCCTCCTGATAGAGTCAACAGGTATGGAGGTATGGACAACAGGGCAAGCTGGAGTTCAGAGAGTTCATCAGAATTGGGATTTTCAGATTAATTTAATAAGTCGAAATGCCTGGCTCACGTCAGAGGTCATGGAAAAATGGGCAGACTGTTTCAAGATCAGGGGAAGGCAAACAACCAATCAAGGTATGCAAAGCACCATCTCTACATGTTCTTGTTGAACCCTGAAGCTGACTGTCTGGCAGATGAGCAGTGAAGACCACTCTGGGTGCCACTCATGGCAGCTAAGAACAGGAAGCTGTGGCTGCTGTTTACACCCGCTCACCAAAATTGGAAAATTATGGCTTTCAAGTCCTTGACGGTCAATTTCAACGACCATATTCAGATGGTAGGGTCAGAAACCAACCTGAGTCCTGGATCCATTTACCACCGGCTCTGGCTGGCAATGTTGGCGTAATGATGTGGGCAGCTATTTAATTTATTTTGGGGCCCCTTAGCTTCAACTGAATTTAAATGCCACATCATAAGTATTGTTGTTGACCATGTCTGTCCTTTTATGAGAACAGTGACCTCTGTGTTCTGCAAATGAACTTTTAAAATGCCTTAAAGAATGACAAACATTTTCCTTCGGCACAATAAAAAAAGTTAACACAGTTTCCCACTGTGATTTTAAACTGACTCAATTGGTCGTCAAATAAAAGCTAAACGATTTGGTCTGACACTCCTGCCTATAATGAGCATCTAAATAAGCTCTGACATTAAGTTCTATAGCATGAAACTAATTTCACTCAATTTTCTGATGAAACATGAACCCTTACAACTGGTTAGAAAGAGCAACCGGGTTTATATCTGGCCAGACTTTCACTGTTGTTTTCTGGTTTAGCTCTGTGGTTGGAAATAGAAAGGATCTAATGGGGAAATACCCGTGTCCTGATCAGGTAAATGTAAATACCACTTGTTTTTTTACTGCCCACTGTTGCAGTAGGTCAGAGTGGCAGGCTTACAAATCAGTCAGCAAATACTGAAGGTTGTTAAAAGGTATTTTGAAAAGTATTTTCTTCCATCCTCTGCTCAGTCTGCTTTTTGTTATGTTTGTAGGGTTTTTTCTACGTCCCTGTCAACTGCTTATTGGTAAAAAAAAAAACACAGACATGTTAGTGTTTGGACAAACACTAGAGAATCATAGGGGAATAACAGAAATGTATCTGACTCAGTGTTGCATCATGGTGGTTATGAAAACCAGTTGCAGCTTCTAGAGTGGTTTTAATTTACCTAACAAACAAATGATAAATGAGGTTGTGAAAACTTCCAGGATTCTAAGGGATGCATGTATTAGTCATCAGTGTAGGGCAGTGAAAGCGGAAGGATTTGATGAAGCAAACTGCTGTACGTCATAGCAAAAGGCCTAAGTTGCAAGATGTCTGTTGCTGAATGAAAGGGATTATAACTCCAGTGGCTTTTCATGTCTACATGTTGCCCTGTTGTGAATTGTTCTCTGTCCCACTGAATTCCTGAACGTTCCCATCTTGGGACAAATACCTGCTCTGCACATTTAAGATAAAACTCTGATTTTCAATACTTACAGTGGGATTTCCTGGAAAAGTGTCATAATGAGGTTTTACTCTAAGGCAAGCAACAACTATGGACACATAAAGCAGTTTAGCTGATTTATTGAATGTGCAAAGTCTAATGGAGAAACTGGAGAGGCGTTGATCCGAGGTGGCAGGAAGGGACTGGAGGAACTGAGAAGAAAGGTGAGTGGTCAGATTGAGGAGTAAGCATTGTAGACTTTGATGAATGACTCTTGCAACGACTTAGAGCCTGACGATTGAGATGAGCGGAGGTGGGTACATGGATTCTGCAGTAGTTGAGGTTGACAGGATCCAGATGGATGTGTGCCGACAGGAAACTGAGGGTAGACAAACAAGCTGCTTTGTGATGCTCGAGACATTATCCAGGGTCGAGGCCTTAAGAGAAGCAGTGAGGAGACGGACATAATCGAGCTTGGTTACCCATACTTGAGCACTCCTTCACTGTATCCTCCTCGTAGCTTTTCTGATTAATCCTGGCTGCTCAGGCTTTCAGTTTAGATGTGTTGTAGGTGTGCAGTTGCTCCAAACTGTTTCAGATGATGACATTCCACATTACCTAAACTTGCATTAAACATCTAGAAGGCCTCCACCCTGACCTCTCTGTTGTGTTTCCTAGTCTTCACGAAGCTGTTTGTTCTCTAACAAACCTCTGAGGCCTTCACAGAACTGCTGAATTTAAACTGAGATTAAAATGTGACCTATATTTACTAATGAGGCGACTCCTGAGAACAGCTGTTTGTGCTTCATTTTGTAGCATTAGAATAAAGGGGGGTGAACCTGAAGTAGTCAAACAAAAGAAACGATCTGTACAGAGAATGGCAACTCAAATCATAGCTTTGCACTTTCAGATCATAGCTTTGTTGCTGACATCTTTGCTACTGAGAATAAAAATTACTCATGATAAAGGTTAAAACAAGACATGAATCAGAACATGCAATTGTTCTCGGAAGGAGTCAAAACCGGATTCAGAAGCACTGATTTTAATCTGCTGTGTTTTGTGTGTGTGTTTTTTTTTTTTTTTTTGTGGCACAAATACCAAGCAACCTGCTGCTCCTAAACCTTTTAAAAACTAGATTACTGCTGTCAGTAGGTCAAAGAGATGAAGGTGAAAACAAAAGACAAGTGAGGAGAATCACAAAGTATGGAAACAACAACAACCATCTGAAGCTTCTTAGCAGGAACTGTTTGGTTCACAACAAATGTCATCTCGAGACACATTACAAAATAGTCATCTCAATTCAGTCAGACATGCTTTCCAATTGATTTTACTTATGAAACAATTTGGTCATCTTTTCTATTTCTGTTTTGCAGCGTTGAGTGATTTCTGAACTGAGCACCTTAAAGTGCAGGCCATGCTAACAAGCATGCACTGGAGGTGAGTAACCTCTCCACTCACCAGGGGGTGTATTTGGTTTCATACGTAAAGTAAAAGTAAAACGCACATTTTTGCTTTCTGTTTTTTTTCTTACCTAAAATCAAGAAAGAAATTCCACTGTACCGCTCCCCTCTTTGTGAAATTCTGATGAAATCCTAGCTAGCAAGCATTTGCTTTGTGATTCCGTTGAAACACCAAACAACAGAAGCTTCTATTCTGCTACTGAAACTGAGAAAACCCCTTTGATGCCAAGTCAGAAAGCAGAAAGCTGCTCTGAATTGAGTGCGCAACTCTTGAATTTATTAACTGTTGCCCCGTATTGTGGGAAAGTACTGTTACTGTCAGCTTTCGGCAGTACGAGAGATTGCGTTTGGTACCGAGAGAAGGCTGCCACCACTTCCTGTATCTGCTAGCTGTGATTTATTTCGTGCATGGAGATTGTAACTGCTCGACTGTGGCATCCTATCTGAAATTATCAGTTTCCCCCACTTGGTTCAACTGCATACACACATGCAAGCGCTAGTACAAATTCTTAGGCCCTTTGTTTCCACAGATACTCAAATAAGTGTGATAAAGCTGGTTTTGTTGTTAATTATTTCGTTTCCCTCTTTCTTCAAAAACTTTGTACACGCCTCAAACTTTTTCAAGTTTTGCTTTACAACAACAAACTTCTTCTAGCTTCAGGTCAGCGCTGCAGAGCGCTATTTGCATAAACCAGCCACCACAGACAAAGTTTCTTGCCTCAGGCTCTCTCTCTGTTGAACACAACCAATATTTGCACTATTTTACAAAAAAAAAAACAAATGCTTGGTGTAGATATTGATCTGAAGTTTATGTGTTTATATTTAATGTTTGCGAACTTGTGAAACTAAACATAAATTTCTTGTTTATGCACATAAAGTTGATTCTGGTATTTTTGGCTAAATCGCCTTTCAGTGCAATTGCAATTGTAATGTGAAGACATATCTTGACCAAGTGGAGAGTTTTACACATTCCTCTTAGTAAAAAAGCTCAAATTTAGTCACTAGGTAATAAAAAAAAAACATCTGCAAGCAGCGTTTTTATTTTTTTAAGTTTTGCCATCCATTCAATGTCCCTGCTGAAGAAAAGCTTTGCTTCCACCACCACGTTCCACCGGGATCTGAATGCAATGCATGAAAAATTTATTATTTTCTTCCACAAAACAATTCTGCACTATTTCATGTCCCCCAATCGCACAAAATCCCAGTGAAACACCAAAAAAAAGTTTCTTTGTTCTACATTGCTCAGTTAGTAGGAGTATTTTTGACAGGCACTGTATATCAAGCATGCAACTCCCCCACTCGATGCAAAACTAACACCAGTTTAGCTCAGGACGTTGTGGCTTTTTATAGTTTCAATATAAACAGCGAAGAGATGACGGTTGACTAGCTATTGACCACTTTGCATCTTATTTTGTCACTTTCTCGGTTCTCATGGCTCATTTGTCACAATGTTTTCTCAGAAAATAAGAAGTGACAAAGAACAAGGCGCAGGTGTAATTTGGGCCGTTAAAAGTTGAAACTTATCTTACTTCTGAAACGTCTGACATCATCTATTGTTGTTTCCTCATAATTTGTTATTTCAAGAATTGAGGAAGCGCATCATCCTCTAAGAGCTGCTTGATTGCTAATTAGATCTGATAAAATGTGACAATAAAAATCATACTTTCTGCTCTCTTAACAGTTTAATCACAGTGCAATTAGAGCTTTATTGTGAGATAATGTTTGGGTCTACTATACTCAGTGGTGGTTGCAGCATGAAGATCTACAGCAGCTATAAAAAAAAACATCAATATAATGTTTTATATCAATCAAAATGGGAGTCATGGTGCAATAAAATGTTTCCACGCTCTTTGGATTTTTGCAATTTGGCGCCCCCTTGTTGAATGTAAGTTATTTTGTTATACTCAGCTCACTGTATTCTTTCTACTCTACTCTTTTTTTAAACCCTAAATTTAAAACAAAAAAAATGACAACATGCATTTGGTCACACCTTTTTATTAACCCATTAAAATTTCACAAACCGGTTAAATGCACACTCTACAAGAGCATTTTGTATCATGAAAATCATTTATGTACAGCAATACAAAAAATATGCAAGGATTCAACACCAAAAATATTCTAGGCCCTTTACATCTATATGTAAGAGCAGATACATTGTAGTTACAGATTATTGGAAATATTTTAGAGTGGAATATTAATATTATTAAATGTTTAGATTAGCAAGAGTGTCCTAAAATGGAAAGTGGTTTAGAGTTTATTTGTAACTTTGTCTTAAACTTGGACCTTGGACTTTAAGGTGCTGCTAAAGTTAAGACTGATGAGCAAAATATGAGAATTTACTTACAATGTCCTGCACAGTGCCTTGCAAATCTATTTATACTCCTTTTTCAACATTTTGATGCGTTGTGTATTTCACTGGGATTTTATAAGATAAAACGACACAAGTTGTGCTACAAAAGGAAAACAAGTGGCTCTGAAAGGTGTGGCTTGCTTTTATTTTGAGACCCCTATGCAAACTCTGGTACAACCAGGTAGTAAATAACTTGTGTGTATTCTTATTTCAGTATAAATCTAGTTGTTCTTTGAAGGCCTCAGATGTCAATTAGAGAGGTTTGGAGCAGATTTGGGTTATAAAATAACATTGCAAGGCTTTTTTTGTTTAAATGGATGGAGAAAATACATGGAGTAAGAGCAGGAGACACCCTTTTAGAACCTGCTACATACATAGGGCTAAAGGATGTGGGTGTGAGAGTGTTTGTTGGGGTCAGGAATGACCCTACACATACAGCCGGAGCCACAGTTGGATACAATAAAGCGGAATAGTCAAAGCACAGACCTAAATTTGACTGAGATAACTGTTGCGGTGTTGATTTAGCATATAAAACCCCTACAAAACATGTTGATAAAATGTGAAAATTTCTAGAGCTTTTAATAGTTTTGCAAGGCACACTAAGACTACAAAGCTTCAGGCAGGCAGTATAGTTCTGTCCAGGTGAGCAAAAGGACAAGGCCCCTTCAAACAGGTAAATGCTGCTTATTGCATAGAGCACTGAGGGAAATCTGCCAGCTACCATAAAAAAACACACACGTCATCAGATCCTCTGCGTATTCGCCCATGGGTTTCCCCAGCTGACCAACCTGCTGTTTAATGAAGCTAACAGGGACAGAGAACGCCAGAAAAAGCAGAAATAAAAATAAAAAACACCAGAACTGGTAGTTTCTTGTCCCAAATCAGTCAGAAAAATTTTGGTCCCGTCTTTCTAATGAAAACATGCGAAATCTCAGTCGTCTGGCTCGTATCTGGAATAGAAAGCAAAACGCGTGATGGTAAACAAAACTGATCATAACTGATAAACGTCATGCAAGATGCATCACAGTAACTGAGGACTGTGTTATTTTTAGAATATCAGTGTAAATGCGAAAACTCACTTCTGCAATCGTTTCCTAATTTCTTTTATCTGCTCGTTCTTTTTGGTCAGAATCTCCTTCATGTTGCGGTACGCTGCAGTTTGCTGGAATTTCTTCTCCAACTCCTACACACAATCCACAAATGCCAAAACATTAAGAGGGGAAAGAAAAAACAACAATAGCGCCACAAATTAGAACTCCCACCAAGACTGAACTTCAAAAGTGATCTAAACAGTTCAGGGGGAAGTGCAGGAGAAAATAACTCTCATTTGCACGACATTTTGCGCACTTTTCGCACGCATAAAAACACCGAAGGTAAAAGGGAAAAACACAAAACTCCTGAGATGAAGTCAGCTGTCTGATCTTATGATGTTAGTGATCATGGAAAAGTCTTGCTTCCTCCATACCAGTGTCAAAAAGAGGAAGGCTTAGAGTATTAGAATAAACATTCAAAATACAGGATCTCAGAAATGTATTAATATCTCATGAACTCTTTGTTTTATTAGATTTTGTTGTGTTTAAAACACAAACTTCCCTCTTTTTATGCGATACATCAACACAAAGTAGTGCACAATTTTGAACTAAAAGGAAAATGGAGAATGTTTTTTAAAGTTCAGCCTATTTCTATGCATATAAATGCATTCCAGTTGATCCAAGTTATCAAACAGTGTATTAAACTGAGTTTATTATTCAAATCAGTTTAAAACATTTCTAAGGAGCCAGCAACAGATTGCATCCAGTTATTGACCTTACAGCATTACCTCAAACTGAGCATGTATGTAGCGACAGTGGAGAGGAAAAGTTCCCTTGCTTTCCTTAAACAGGAAGAAACCTGGTTCAGTATTAGCAGCCATCATCTACCACAACCAACTGGGGGTGTATATTTTTATAAGTTGTGGGGTGTGTTTGTATTTACCCACCCCGAGTAAATACTTTGTAGAACCAGTTTGAAAAAGCTGAAATTATTCAAAAACAGCTCAAGTAGATTTATTGCAGAGTGTCTGTCAACATCAGTTTTCTAGTCTTGCCCACCGACTAGAAAGCTGATGTCGTACCTAAGTCTGGGTTTTATCTGGGCCGTTCTAACCTGCACCCTCACAATATATGAAGCTACCACCACTATGCTTAATTAGGTTTTCCGCCACATGGGAGTTTTTTATGTAGGTCAATAAAATCGATTTGATCAGAGCAGCTTCTTCCACAAGGATTTTCTTGTTGACGCCTGACTAGTAGCTGTTTTGTGATCAGGTTTTCAACTTGAGCAGCTCCTCCAGAGCTACCATGGAGCTCCTGAATGCCTCTTTGATTAATGCTTTCCTTGCTAAGCCTGACTGTTTAACAGAATGAACAGAGCTCTGTTAAATTGCATTGCTCCAGCGCTTTGTGTTACAGCTCTGTATGAAACGCCCTCTACAAATAAAGAGACAAAATGTGAGGATATTTGAGGGCTATTTCTACTTGTGTCTCATCTCACAGACTGAATCAAAATGATCTGTGTGGATCACAAGGTGAGTCCATGGAGTCCAACTTCATTAATGCTTATTGCATTAATTTATCAGAAAGAGAAAAGGCTCCACAGCAGGTACCTTCTCTGCCAAGGACAGCTGCTCCTGCACTCGCAGAAGTTCGTGCTTGGCAGTGATTAGACTCTCCTTCAGTTCCTTTTGGGTTGCCTCGTTGGCACTAAGCGATCTTTCATAGTCCTCCGTCAGAGCTGCTACTGTGTCCTCCAGGTTGTTGATTTCCTTTGTTTGAGCAGAAAGCTGAAACGCAGTAGAAAACCAGTTACGGCCTGACCGGCAATAACTGGCTTTACACGGCAAAACAGCATCTACAGAGTTCATCCAGGTTCATACATACCATGCAGATAATAGCAAATGGTGGTAAGCATGCAGGCGACAAAAATCAAACATAAATAGTAAAGATAAAATAAAGGAAATGGAAAGCAGTAGTGAAAGTAGCACATCATTTTAAATGCAATACCTTTTGCTCTCCTTGTGTCCTCTGCAGATCCTTCAGAGTTCTCTCTAATTTTGCTTTCTCATCTAGTACACTCATGGCCTGATGAAATTAATCACATATTAAAAAAATGATCAACTAGCTAACTAAGAAAGATAAAAGACTAAGTTTAAAAGGCCTCTTTTTTACCTGTGATTCTAAAGTCCGCAGCCTGGATTTCAGTTTGTCATTGTCCTCTTGTAGTTTCGCTATCTCCTAAAACAGAATAGAAATAGATTAGTTGGTTTGAGCATTTTATTTAACTTTGTAACCAGAAGACAACAAACGCTCATCAAGGGTATAGAAGCCATTAATGTTGGACTATTAATGATGCATTTGATAATCTGACCACTCTTGTTATCAGAAATGGTAATTAGTTTAAAGGGTTTGTTTTCCTTTGGACAGATACTCTAAACAATAGTCCATATATTTTCAAAGGGTTCCGGTCCAAGGCAATTCCAGGTGCTCTGTGAGGCAAAAACTCAGATGGAGACGGCACTGAGGGAATGTTCAAGGAATGTTCGAGGATGTTCAACAACAGCCCAGTAGCTAACTGTCAAGCAAGTTAGCTACTGGGTAGAGGAGCAACCAGTGGCACTGGTGCGTTGCACCAACTGAGAGAGGAGCAATAAAGACGAAGGACAACTTTGGACACAGTTAAGTTTTCCAAGAGAAGAAAATAACCCCAACATGCTGTCAGAAGGTTTCATGATCAGAACCTTGTAAGACACCCAGCCTGCATTGCACCTGATTCTGATGCGTCTTTGTGCAGCTGGTGGGCCCACATCTCTTACAGAGTGACTTTTTGGTACTTGTTGGGCTATGTCAAACTCCAGGATCCAGGGCTCAGCGGTCAGCTCACTCCAGGTTAAGTTTACTAATTATTTTAGTCTTCCAGTCACAAATGACTTCTCTTAGTCATCTGTGACTAAGAGCTGTCATTTGTGACTTAGCCAGAGACTTATTAGCCATAGGAGCTGAAACCCTTAATAACGTAGCCAGTATAATCTTAATGATACAAAAAAAGATCAGCTCTGTTGCAGGAAATCAACAAGTTTAAAGGAGCTCAACCATTTCTGATGAGAAAAGTGGTCAATCATCACCACCAGATTTTTTGCCTGGGTCTTTCTGATGGATCTAAAAAAAAAAAAGTTTAGCTAAGGTCCAACTTACTAGGCAACAATAACACAAATATTACATGTTAAAAGTCACTAGTCTCAAACAGTAACTTCATAACCATCATTATGGCTATGATGACTATGGTTGGGAGTGTATACAAAAAAATAATTTTACCTTGTTAAGAAGCTCAGACACCCCACCCTCATTCAGTGGTGCCAACTTGAGTTTACTTGTTTCCTGGTTTAGCTAGAAATGAATTCAAGATTCATACAGTCATGCAAAAGCATTGCATTGCACTGCAACATTTATTTATTCGTTTTAGACATGGCAACATAAAACCACAGGTGAACCTCAGTGACGCGTGACTTCAGAACCACACTTCTACAAATATAGGCCAGGCAGCCTGACATTTACAACAAATGTGGGGGCAGGTAATCTAAGAAGACGTGAATTTCGCCTGATGTCTGAAGAAGAAAGTGTTTTGCAAACCTTATTGGTTATTTTAAAGTCAGTCTTCTCAAATTCAGCCACTTGCTCTAACAGCTCCCTGAAAGGGCGAGAGAGAGAAAAAAGATATTAAATGCTCATTATCTGAAAAATTAAGCAGATAAACAAAAGCTTACATGCTTAAAAAGTGTAAACTGATTTTACAACCACAATCTGCGAGCAACACTGAAGCATTGATAAGACGTTCATTTCACAACAGTTGCGTAACCTCTGTGTTGATGTTCATCTGTGCTAACCCTCACAATCTACTATTTGGCGGTCGTGAATGTTTGGCAAAGGAAAAGTGAACTCCCTCGGTCCTGGCGGCAGTTTAGCACTTATGTTGTAAAGGCACATGCTTGTGGTGAGCAGCCCTGTTCTCTACAAAGCTTGTATGTGGTTTTTTAAAAAGCATTTGAAGACACGTAGCCCTATCACAAGGGGCGTTTTCCTAGCTTTAGACACCTATTCAGTCACGTACAGCTGTAGCCTGGAGAGGAAAACAAAAAGGGTTCATAAGTTGCTCATCCACCCACCATGTGCCTGCTATACTATAAACAAAGTATCTTCATCAAAACACTGTGTTTTATAAGGTGAGAGGTCACGAGGGCAAAAGTTATATTAAGTTCAGTAAGTTTGAACCTCACAGTCAGATCAAACAGGCTGTCAGTATTAAATTTGATGAACAGAAAGCGGTTTTGTAGTGTTTAATTTAAGTGAGTATCGCTAAAAATGGGGGTTCAATCCAATTTAAATGTCATAAGTTATATTTTCTAAGTTTCTTAAAAGAGTTGTTGTAGATGCTTATAACTGTGGGTAGGAAGGATCTACTGTAGCACTCAGTATTACAGTGATTCCAAAGATGCCTCTGACTGAAGGAGTTTAACTCTACATTGTTTCCTCATTCTTGTTCAAACACTTTATCGCGTCTTGCCCATCCCTCTTAATAATTGAAAAGTTACATTTATTTCAGTCATTCCATTCAAAAGGGGAATTTGCTATATTGTATTTGTTAGATTTATGTTTGTTAGAAAATAAAAAAGTTAAAACAATTTCAAAACATTCTTTATTACAGAAATGTCTGCGTTAGACATTCGTTTTCAGGTTTTACTCCAAAAACTTTCTTCTAGGAACGAATGCAGAGGTTTCCAAACTTTTCGCCACTCAGACCAAATCTGTGACCTTTGTCTAGACACAATGATACAGTGGAAATGTGGGGAATAACTTTTAAATTGACCTTTCTTTCTGGTAAAATATAAAATAACATAAAAAATGTATTTAAATAAGATCCAGAATTAATCTCTGAAACATAAGCTTCTATTTCTATTTCTACAAAAATGAATTTGAAAATGCAATGAAAAAGGTGACAGTTTGTGGTTTTTAGCCCAACCAACTGCAGATCTAAAGGGAAACCGACACGATGGAAACCTGGGTTGCACGCATGTAGATCAGTAAAGACTGCTGACCTTTTTACCCGGTGAATGACATGCTAAGAGATCTGGATCTGAAAAGAACTGAAGAGGAAGTAAAATGTGATACAGTTCAACGTAACTGTTAACATTTAAAGGGCTGCCTGTTTCAGGCGCTACTGTTAACTTGGAGTTCACATGAGAAAGAAGAGAACGGTTGAAAAATGTCCACCAAAGCAGTGATAACGAGTGAGTACGGTTATAACTTTTGGATTCTAACAGCTTCCCGTGCTATGACTGTCTGGATGCCAGTGCGAGTATCACTGTCAGGGTCTTTTCAGCTCACCTGTTCTCCAGCTCAGAGACATCGCTCTGGAGTCGAAGGTAAAACTTCTCGGCCTGAGAGAAAAGCTGCCTGAGCAGCAGCACGTTAGTGTGGGCCGTGTTGATCAGCTCCATCTCCACCTCCCCCCGGACCACCATCTGCAGCCCGTCCAGCATGTCCCTAACCTCATCCACTGTGTAGGTGTCCTCCACCAGCCTTCAGACGGAAATTCAGGCATAAAAATCAATGTGCAGAGTCGTCCTCATTCACTTATTGCCACCCATAATAAAGATTTTTTTTTGTTGCTCTTCCATAAGCTCAAACTCTTCTTTATTAAAGTCAAACCTTCTTTTGAGTACATTGATTGAGTGAATTAAGAATATTCTGGATTTGGATATAGTCATGGTAGAAGGTTGATTTGTGTCTGAGGATATAAATATGTGTTGATTTGAGCATAAGTTCTGGATCATTACCATCCTAAAAGATTCAATTACACTATATTTCCTGTGTTAATTTCCCTTATTTAAATTTTTTTTTTCAAAATCTCTCAGTATTTTAAAGAATTCCTGATGACATTTTTAGATGAGAAACGGGCCCACTTCCACTGTACAGGTGATGTTACACATATTCATTCTCAGTTTCATGCCAAACCCACATGGTGTGTTTGTTGCCAATAAGATCAATCTCAGTCTCATCTGACAAAGCATTCAGTTCCAGTTAACTGGAACTTTATTGAGTAAAAATATCAAAGTTTTTTTTGTTTGTTTTTTTCCAGAAATATTCAGTTCTGTACATGTTTTCCCATCCATCCGTCGTCTGTGCTGTATGATGTAGGGTCGCTGATGCCTACCTGCAGTGGTCATTAAACTCTGTAGACAGGTAATCAGTCCATCACAGTTCAACACAGAGACCCACAGGACTAACAAGCATGGACATTCACACCGAAGGGGAATTTAGAGTAACCCAACAGGTATGTTTGGACAGTGGGAGGAAGTCGGAGTGAAGCATCCAAAGGAAACACTCAAAGCTGTGATTTGAACCTCTTTTTGCTGCCAGGCAACAGAAAGACTGAGTCACCATGCAAAAATACCATTATTACATTTTCTTAGGCATGGCTAATAGACAATATGGAATAAAAGAGTAAAATTTCCTTGATAGTCTGATCGACTTTAAAAAGTGAAATGTTAACTTAAAAGCTTCAAGTAGTCCTCTTTAATTCAAGCTGTCATGGAATGCTGCTAATTTTTTTTAATAGCTTGGGATTTCTTTTGACTTGTCTGCTGTGTTCTATAATCTTCACAATGCTTTGTTTACTGAGCATTGTGAGTTAAGTAAGTTAATTTACTTAACTGAACAAAAGTTCAGTTAAGTAAATTAAAAAAAATTTTGGTGTAAAGTAAACAAAGATCAGGGAGTGTGAATACTTGCATGGTACTGGAATTTGTCTTCAGCATGTGATTATACAATTGGTATTAAATATGAATACAAGGCAATATTTTCACACCATTGCTCTGTCCAGTACAAGCTCTCTCTATGGATGTGCATAAACATCTAAATAAAAGTACATGATCACAATGACGGAGAAGTTTATGACCAATCACCTGCTGTCTTTGAGTTCTTCAAAACATGAGTCAATAGCCTTGAGCCTCAAGAGCCTCTTTGAACGAGCAAATCGCATGTAGTTGATGATTTCAGACTGATGGTGTTCGTTAAACCCAAAGTCAGCCTTCGTGGACACAAAAAGAAAACAGATTAGCAAATAAATTGTACATCAGGGGGAGAAAAGGTGCATATGAAGACAGAGGGTTGATGTAATAGCAACACCAATTAGCTTATCAGCTAACTTGAAGAGGATTTCCTCTTGCCAATACGTTGCAGGGCCTTTCCACATGAGCTAGTAATTCCATAGTGCTGCATGCCAGCTATAGCGTTCTACTCTAATGGCATTTTATTTAAAAATAGGGTAATTCACCACTACTACAAGGAAAGAGAAAGCTAGCAGCGAAGCTCACAGCAGCTACTTACCATAATGGCTGTTTTGCAACGTAACTAAGTTAGCTTGAGCTGATCCTTTAAAAAAAAGAAGCAGAATTTATCTAATTTAGACAACGTACGCAAGGAAGACTAAAAGCCAGAGTCGATATGATGAGTTCGAAATCCAGTAAAATCTTTTATATGTTTGTTTAAGTAAACAAATTGAGCAAAATTTCCGTTATCTCACAACTGTAAGATTATCCTGGAGATATGCTAGCCTAGCTAACCAGCTAGTGTTTGTCTTGAGAATGCCTTGGTAACGGAATATAGCGTCATCACCTTGGTTACCGGAGGTGCGTTCATGGGCATCACGGACAGGTTGTACCAGGAGAAAATAGTCTCACTAAAAATGAATTATTTTATGTAAAATTCCGGATTTTTATGCCTAAAGTCAATATAAAGCGCAAAAATTATTTCTATCCGTATTACTGTAGGGATAAATTTAACTTTTTAGGTAAATGACCAATCGCCTTTGTACTAATCGCTAATGTAGCACAAACAGTTCATTTTTATTTTCTTTTATATATCACGTTTTATACTGTATTTTTTTTTAACCAAAATACATTCGATTATAATTAATTATTATTATTACTACTACTACTACTACTACTACTATTACCAATAATAATAATACCCACGTACTCTTTCGTATTTTGGGGATCATTAATATTATTACCATATTGTGTGGTTGCATAAATACATTGGTTTGTTAATATTATTAAGTGTTTTTAAAAAAAAAATTCAGTGCATGCTTTGCTTATTTACATTACTATTTATTTGGCTTGGTAAGCAAGGCTGTTGCAGGTTACAGTAGAAACCAGTAGATGGCAGTGTAATGCAGGAAAAAATGACTAGCAAAGCGGGTCTTTTAATCCTATTACTCTGGAGTAATAGTCCCATGACACACAATAATTAATTTTATTCATTTTGAGGCCGTATCTGTTTCCATTGCAGGGCATATGTTAAATCAGTAGTCCCCAACCCTGGTCCTCAGGGACCGCTGTCTTGCATGTTTTTGATTAACCCGGACTCCAGCACAGCTGATTCAAATGTTTGTATTACCTCCTTTGCATTCCTGCAATTGCTATAGAAGTCGGTTAATCACCTATTCATTTAACCCAGGTGTGCAGCAGCAGGGCAACACCTAAAACATGCAGGGCAGTGGGCCCTGAGGACCAGGGTTGGGGACCACTGTGTTAAATGACAACGTTTGCAATATAATTTCTCTACATATAAGAAATGATTGCATGAAACATAAAAATAACCGTATTTGTGCTGCAGAAACCTCATCGACTTTACCTGAGCCAAATAAAGTTTTCACAGTAATTGAGTGGGAAAGTCTTGTCATCCTAACGAAAACCTAAAGAGCTTCACTCTCCATCCTGTTAAGGGAAGACTCAAATGGGGAAAGAAGAAGGAAACTTTTCTTTTTCTCATGCCTCTCTTGCTGTAATTGAATTAGTCTAACAGGCAGCGCATGGTTTGTCACCCAGGCAGATGCCTTATAACGTGACCACTCTGTGCTGCTCCACTTGAGTTTTAGTGTAACAGATCAGTCATTAAGAGAGGCCAAGATGTTTCCTCTATATCTTCAGTCGCGGTGAGTTGCTGACAGTTAAGGATCAAATGCTGTTGGTTATTTTTGCTTACTATTTTTCTGTGATATTACATGTTAAGGCTTCTGTACTGTTCTGACTGTATCTTGTGATAGTTGCGCCTATTTTTGATGACATGGCATCAGTAACACAAAGACATTTATTTGGAAGGTGCCAAATAGTAATTGTATTGTAGAATGAAAAGGTCAGAATAATGAAATATCTGTACTTACAATAAATTACACATGTAGAATGAGTGATGCAACTTCAAAGCTAGAAGAAATAATGATTAGAAAGTCTAGATTGCTTAAAAATTGATAATTTAAAAAATGTAAATGGTAATTATTGTAGCTGGGATTTAACTTATTTTCAAATATGCTACATTGAACATACTTGACTGTAAACTTCACTTGAAATTTGGTTAAATGTCTTTGATTGTTGATAATAAATAGATTGTATCTGGATGTTTAAAGTTGTTTTAAATGTATATCTATGGTAGACCTGTGTGCTCTGAAGCAGCCTGTAAGATGCATGCATTGATGGGGAACTCTCGCTAGATGGCAGAATAGTTGCTTTTTTTTTTTTTTTAGCAAAACTTACAGAAATAAAGCCTTTTTTTTTTTTTTTTTTTTACCTTTGTACCCAAATTTATAGGCGGTTTCATGCTGTTGACTATTAAGCTATTTTAATTAATTTTGCTTAAAACGTAACCAAATCAAAGGGATAGTTCACAATTTTTGAACTGGGATTCTGTGGAAAGGTTCTGAGCAATTAACCACCTACTTTTAATAAATAGCTTAATTCAATGTATTTCTTTTGAAAACATAAATATCAGTTTCTCCCAGAGATTAAAACTACATTATAAGTTGCTGTACAGTGTAGCAATTGCAAGCACTGTTGCCTTTAACCAAGGTCTTTGGTCTGAATCCCAGTCCATGATCTTTCTGTATAAAGTCTGCATGTTCTCCTCATGCTCGTGTTGATTTTTTCCATCTCCCCCCCTTCCTTACAGTCCAAAAGCATGTCTCTTAATGGTTAATTGGGCTATGTGATTGATCCATTGGTGTAAGAGTGTGTGCGTGGTTGTGTGTTTTTGTGTTGCCCCATGATGACTGAATGAATGTCTGAATAAATATCTAAGAGATACTGTTGTTATAACGCACATTAAAGCTTCCTTGTGGGATGGTACATGTTTTTATGACTGTACTTTTCCAACACAATGGCAAACAGAATAATCTGACTACGCCATGTTACTCTGTACATATATGAAGTTATTTTAATGGATTTTACAAATAAGTGTGGTTAGTATCTTAAAATCAGTGTAAATAATATTACTATTACAAAATAATAAAATTACAAATTTTCCAAATAAAATTTTTCAAAATAAATCCTATGACACCAATACTTAAAGTAGGTATTTGTGTCTGTTGTATAGTCAGGGTAATGCATTACAGTGATAAGCTATTGTTTTATGTATCTTCAACTGACCTCCAAACAGACTCAGGAAATTGAAAATTACATTAAGGTCGAGTACAACACAGGGAGTCTTACTTTAAAATAGGTGTGTTCCTGTGCTTCGTATATTTTAGTTTCAAAAACGTTTGTTATTAATTCAGTGAAGTTGCTTGCAGTGGGTACAGTAGCCAGAAAATTTTACTCAAGAGTTACGATACTTAATAAATAAATGTAAAGTGTGGCGTAGTAAAACTACTCATAGAAGTACATTTTCCTAAACGTTACTCAAGTAAATGTAACTGGGTAAATGTAACAATTACAATCCGCCTGTGGTTTTAACATCTCATAATCTTTTAAAAGAGGCCCATAAAAAAAAATTCTAGTTTACCCCTTTAAAAACGTTGCGTTTCGACAGAACCGCAAAAAAACTGCTTTAAGGTCGGCTTTGGTAGTATCCCTCCATTCAAACGTCAAATGAAAACCAAATGAAAACTGTTCTAAGATCAGCTTAACACTTCCGCACTCGCCAATCAGCTGACAGCCGCATGACAGGGCAGGCCTCGCGCCTGCGCACTTTATTGCCTTTTGGTCTCAGGAATATGGCAGCGTCCTGAGTCTTGTTGGGGGGAAACACAGCGGAACTGAGTAGGTACCTGTCTTCAGCGTCACAGTGGGAAAACTGAGGAGCACTGGCCGCGGTCAGAGGAGGGAGGGGGGCTGAGGGACGGCTACATTTAACACCCATTAGTGATTTGACAGGTAAATGCTATTGTTAGCACGTGCCACTTCTGTCTGTTTCGTGTTTTCTTGATTGAGCTCCGGTGCTAGGATCTAATTGATGCGCTAGTTAGCCGCTAACCTGTAGCTAACCCAGTCTTAGCCTACCGCTGCCTCCACCTATTTCAATGCAACAAACGCTCATTTAAAAGTATTTCTGGTGTGGCTATTGTCCCGGTTAGATGAAGCACTAGCGTTAACACACCAAAAGAGAGTTGCTGTGTTTGTTTTTGACCGTGGAGGCCTGCTGCAATGAAGTAGCTTCCTGGGAGACAGGTAACGTTAATTCTGTCTGTCATGGATTTACTGCAGCTCACGCACACATTGGGGCTTAAACAAGTGACATTATCCTGCAAATGCTCTTATGGCAATTAGTTTTCGGCTTTATTGTTAAAAAGATTCAACGTGCAAATTATTTAGCTCTCGGAATCTTCATTGAGCCCCCCAAAAATAAAGTGACGGCAAGTTCCTGGCCTTTATGTTCCTGTGTTGGAAGAGTGATTGCTTCATGTAATTGGCAAATACAGGAGGGTGTTGCAAGGCTTGGTCAGATGAAAATACTAGAAAGGCATCACACACTGATATTCCTGTAACGTTTTACTTAATTGATGTCATTCTGAATGTCTAAATCAACTCTTCATAACGCAGGTGTCATGAGTTTAACAGATAGGACTGAACTGATGTCATGGCACATGACTATTTGAACCTTGAACCTCACACTGATGCTAAAGTAGTTTTCCAGTGATGGTCTCTGAAATAAAACTCTTTCCAAACAGCTCTGAAAACTGAAACTGTCTTTGCGATTTGAAATAACTGTTTTTAAAAAATTGTAAATGTTTCAAGACAAACTAAATCCGTAGCTTGTGTTTATCTTTCTGAATGGGTCTGGGTTGCATTGGATCACATACAGTGACGGCATCTGTCCCATCTTTTTATTATCATTTATTGTTTATTTGTAGAGTTAATTATACCCCAGAGTTGTCGCTATAATTTCCAAGATGAATACAAGCAAGCTTAATTTTGATATAAAGGTGTTGGTGACCAACACATAAAAAACACTTTGTTTTTAAGCTTCATATTGAATTGTGCTGTGGGAAAATAAAAAAGGGACAACAGTGAAGTAGGAATGAACAGCCAGTGGATTCTTATACTTTGATCCTTTTACCTCTGATATGGGAATGGGATCAAACCCAACATTTCCAAAGTAGCCAGGAGGAATAACTGTAGATATTAGTGTTCCCACCTGAGGAAACTCTGCTTTTTTTCTAACTTTAAGCTTGGAAATGGAATGCATAAATTAATTGGAACCTTTAACAAATCCCGGTTTCTCTTTCTTTCTTATGACATAATACACTGAACCAATAAGTCAAGTTCATGTTTATTGCTGTTTTGTATAATGTTTGCTGAAATATTGTTTAGTATCTACA